CATTCATGAGCACAAACCCCAACATTCATTTCACTATCCAGTCATAATTGTGAATAAAATAAGGAGAAAAAAGCCAAGTGTGGCTATATGTTATCATCAATAGTAATACAAATGATAGTGTGGTTGATGTAAAATAAAATTGTGAGTTTTAAATGACAAGAAAAATTTCGTAGTAAATTATTTTTGAGAAAAACTTAGTAAAGTAGTAGAGAGAAAGTATACAATATCTGATGAATATTTATTCATGGTAGCCTCAATGGAAAGTCAGTAAAACTCTCAACTTGTCTAGATAATAGAGAAATATAGAGTTTTTAAGAGAAAAAATAAAATGATTGTTGATTAATCTAGGTACCATTTGTAAATACCCATAAGCCTAAGGGATTATTAGTAAGGCTGTAACTCGGGTGTGTTTGAGGTATAACTTGAACCCAACTCAACATATGAAATGTTAAATCTAAGCTTAATTCAAACCTTATCTTCAACTTTAATTACGTCCAACCCATACTTCTACCTTTAAATTTGGGTTTAGATTCTAAATTTAAAATTCGGATTACTCATATGGTTAATCTTCACAAAAAAAATTTAATACGATCTTGAATTAGTTTTATATTATATTACTCTTTAAAAATAAAAAAAAAAAGTTTTAAAAGACTTTTTGTAAATTTATAATAAATTACAAACAATTTTCGAAAAAATTAATTCCCATAAATGTTAATATGCAATAAGTTAATATTTAACAAAGAAAATTGAAAGGAAAAAAAAAAAAATCATAGTTTAAATATTATATATATTGTATTAAAAATATATATGAAAATAGTATTAGAATTTGGATTCTGATTGGCTCGGGTTTCTAGCGACTCATCCCAAGCCCACCTGATTAAAAATATATATATAAATAGTATTAGAATTTGAACAATTTTTAAGACACTTTTGTGTGTTTTTTTATATTTTTGATTAAGTACTCTTTTTTATTTCAGAATAAGTGTGATGATCCTCAAAACATGATACTTATTTATTATAAAACGCATTATTTCATAAAATAATAATTATGTCACATTTGTCCTTTGCGAAGACATGTTTTTATCATGGGATAAGGGTTTACCCGGGTCAATCGCACACTATTCATTACAATACTTACGTACCCATTCACCATTGAAACCATGAGTTAATCACGTGTGTTTGATTGTATTACAATCTTTGCGTACTCCATTGTAGAATTCGGGTCATTTTCAGTGAACCTGTCCTTCCGTAATGTGCAGGAACACTAAAAACATCACCCCCAACAAATAATTCTACCTCACTTTCCTGTACACTTTTGTCTCCATTACGTTTGGGCTGCACTTCCAACAAATAAAGCAACCCAATCCATCACAAATTCAACATGTAAATTTTTTATTTATTTATTTATTTTATATATTAATATTTGGTTGTTGTGACGTATTTATGAAAAAAATATTAAAATTTAATAAAAGTAATTTATTAATTAATTTATCAATTATTTTATTAATTATATTCAATGGACTCGATCTATACGTTTGTCAAACACCAAAAAAAATAAAAATAAATTTACTTGAAAAAAAAGAAAAATATTTTACTTTGCAATTAAAAACACGTTACCGTTTGTTTGGATATAAACTATTTTTTTATTTTTTACGTTTGGTTGTTGTAAAATATTTACGAAGAACAAAAATTAAAATTTTATAAAAATAATTTATCCATCAATTTTTGATAAATATTTTATAAATCCCGTTCGAAAGATTCGACCTCAACCTAAACCTTTGCCAAATATCAAAAAATACAAATAAAAAAATATTTTGAATAAAAAATGAAATATTTTTTGAAAAATATTTTACGAGCCTTGGGATAATAAATTTATCTTCCTTGAAACGTTATTCCTAGTATGATTTCAAAATTAATGCTCACATCTCTTATTTGTGTTAACTTTGACTGGATGTGTTATGTGATTATTATAAGCATTGTACTTTTATCAATTCAATATATGAACAAAAATAACATTTTAACGCTTTCTAAGAATGATCTTTGACTTTTAAATAATTTTTTACCATGAGATTATCAAGAGAAAATTATTAGATTTTATCAAGAGGTCAGTATTGCTCAGACCTGAATTAAAAACTAAATAAAAAGTCCATGTTATTTAATCAATTTACAAAAAAAGTAGGTGTAATTACCCCTTGAGATTATGCAACACTGAAATAGCAGATGCGTTGAGTTACTATTAAGTCATTTTGTACATGGTATGGCAAATTTCAGACTAGAATCATTTTTTTTACATCAGTAGATTAAATTTTTACACTTTTTATTGCATTTTTGACCGAAATTAAAGCGAGAGCACTGTTATATTTAAAATTAGAGGAGAAATCTCTTAAGATAATATAACACTCAAATAACATATTAGATTGAGTGCTATTGCATTTTCGATTTTAATACATGTATAAAAAAGTTTTGAATTTAAAAACATCCTAAGATGATTTTCTGCTTAATTAAGATCATTTTTAGTGTCTACGAAACAATTGTAACAGATCGAACGCTTTTCAATACAAAAATATTAGACTAAAAATTAAAATGTAAAGATTCAAAGTCAAGAGCAACCCAATTACTGGTCTACAAAAACATAACATAAACTATTACGATTAAGGATTATATGTATACTCAACACTACTTCCATCAGTTATCCCGACCAAATTATCTCATCCAATTGGACTCGGTTGGTAGGTAGTAGTAACCTTATCCCATAAAACCTAACATAATGATAAAAATATTCGAGCAAAACATATCACCTAGTCAGTTTTTTAGATCTGGTGTGACCACCTAGTACATTGGTGGACCAACATTTCGACTGACCGTCACAATCCATGCCACGTGTCGAATCATTAGTTCGGTGGATGTTGACTTTGCGTGTGAGTGTATACAGGGAAGACTCTCCTTGCGGATAAACTTGAAGACGTGGAAAATGAAATTAGAAGTAAAGGAAAAGAAAGGTCGAAATCATGAGAATCTCGGTAGAGAGAGAGAAAGAGACACATATCATATATCCAGTAGTCACGCGTACCGCATCGCCTTCACGTGGGGCCCATCCATGTACCGGCTGCTTGAAAACGCCACCAAACACGTGTGTCCTCCATGACTGCCACGCCCCGGGTCACGTGAGCTGTGTCACGTGCAGGCCGTACGGATTTTGCTTCCGATGCAGGGGGGGATATTTTTATAAGCTACGACCGGCATTCATTTGTCTTCTTGTGCAACCCATGTTCGGGTCCATTTAATTGTAACGGGTCAATTTTAGTAATTAAGCCGAAGTCGGCAAGTCGACGACAGAGGATGAGTGGGGCCCATACTGGTGTGATTTGTTACACCGAAGTCGGTAAGTCGACAACGCAGGATGAGTGGGGCCAATACTGTGGTGATGGACTTTCATGCCAGTATTTATTGGGGTGCTCCGATTCCTGCGACAGACGTGCTGCAGCGGACAGCAAGATCATAAACACGATGCGATTATTCACGTAGTTATTCGTTATGAAGTTTGAAATCTTTGTTGTGCTAATAATGTAAGATTACAACTATTCAACTGTTAATGACGTGATTAGTAGGAAAAGTATACTTTCTGTAAAATTTGAAAATTTTAAAATATGTATGTGATCATTTACACGTGTAATAATCATATAATATGAGTTGAATTTAATTTCGGTATGAATTTATTTATTTATTTATTTTTATTGTAATTGGATAGAATTAATGAATTTTAATATCGTAGAAGTGGGAAGAAATTGAATTAGTCAATTGATGTTGGATGACGATCACAGCCTCATTTAAAACTTGAGTAACTGCTAGTTAATAGCATTGAGTGTCGCATCACAGTTATTTGATTGCAAGTCTTACGGTGAATCTCACATTAGGTTTATATGATCGAACGTCTATGATAAATCACTGATGTTGCCTTTGAAATTCTAAATAATTTTTCTTTTGGCAAAAAAGAAATCAATTAATATCATGTGTGAAATCAAAAGGAAAAGATTTTAATGTAAAAATAAATAAATAAACAGATGAATTATCACGTAATTTTAAAATATATGGTGAAGAAAATTTATCTTGAATAATATTAAAAAACTTGCAATTAATGTAATGAAATCCACATCAAGAAATTTTAATGGAACATTTGGTTTCATCACTTGTCTTAGACAATCACTCAACCCACCTCAAGATAGAGCCGGTTTGTATTCCAGATCTTTGGCCTCCTTAGAAACCTCTTTCCCTTTCCCTTTTCCTTTCCCTTTCCTCTCCTCCTCCTTCAACCCCCAATTCCAAACACAGTCTTAAGTGAAAGAGCTGACGTGTACCATCATCAAATGGGCTGCCTTATTATCTAGCGGATGTTTAACTGACAAGTAGTAGAGTATTTTTTTTTTTTAAAATATTATTATAATTATATATATACATACAAGTATATGCTAATGTAGTACAGTTTCAGACTTCCAGTTGATGTGGCTCGAAATAACCGACACCAAATCGTACGTTAAGTTTTTCTCTCAACACGTGTCCGGTCCTTCTTCTTTTTCCCGCCAAAAATCGTTTAATATCTCGCTATTATCTCGCATAAATATCTTCTCGAGGACCACGATTTACTCCCATATTTACTCTTTTCAGCGTCCCTCAAAAACCGCTTAAAAACTCAAAGGACGAAACGAGTCAAGTCTTCATTATAGCAATTGCAGTATTACAGTAACGGGCCGTGACCCATCCCGCGTCACATCAAGTAGGACCCACCTGAATCACCAGTTCATCAGTTCCTAGTCGGTACAAGTTGGGATCAACGTAGAGGATGAGGCTGTGATGATACTTAATCACAGCCCGTGACCGAAATTCTACCCGTAAATGGTAGTACAACAAGTAGTGGAGGTGGAGGCGGTTTTACGTTAACCATGGTTAGGTTAATTTTAACCACGGTTAAAATCATGCTCTTATAAGCAAGTTTACATCTAAGAGAGAATGCGTTCTTGACTTCCGAGGGGGTAGATATAGATATATAGAGTGAGAAGAGAGAGATGATGATGATGGGTGATACAGGTCTGCCAAATCCGATCATCCAAGTCCCTCCGTGGGACCTACTAGATGATCCAACGGCCATGATGGGCTCTCCATTTTCGATCAATGCCCTTTCCGTTAACCTTAACGGCAATGCCACCAGCCCCAACGGCGACAACAACTACGACGCCTTAACGGCGTCCCTCCAGCGTTATCTTCCCTCAAATGTCAACAACTTGGTCTCTGAATCTGATGCTCTGCAAGGTGATGACTACGATATTCCGGTGAACGCGTTCTCATGCGATCAGTTCCGCATGTACGAGTTCAAGGTGAGGAGGTGCGCACGTGGGAGGTCACATGACTGGACGGAGTGTCCGTACGCCCATCCCGGCGAGAAGGCTCGCCGGAGAGACCCACGAAAGTACAACTACTCCGGCACTGTGTGCTCGGAGTTCCGAAAAGGTCAGTGTAAGAAGGGTGACTCGTGTGAGCTAGCACACGGCGTATTCGAGTGTTGGCTCCATCCGTCTCGCTATCGTACGCAGCCCTGTAAGGATGGAACCCACTGTCGACGCCGAGTCTGTTTCTTCGCTCACACCCCTGACCAGCTCCGAGTCTTGCCTCAGACGAGTCCGAGAATGTCTGACTCGTTTGATGGGTCTCCGAGTCGACTCGGTCTCGACTCGTACGGGTCGTTTGGGTCGTCTCCGACTTCGACTCTTTATTCCCCGCCGGTGTCTCCTCCGTCTGACTCGCCACCCATGTCGCCCCATGGGTCGCTGAGTGTGAACTCAGTGAGTGAACTCGCTGCGTCTATGAGGAATCTTCAAATCGGGAAGGCGAGGATGAGCATGAGTCCACCTTCGTGGGGTGTTCAGATGGGTTCTGGGTTTTGTTCGCCCCGGAGTCAATCGAATCTCCGACCCGGGTTTCTGAGTCTGCCTACGACTCCAACTCGGGTTCCAACTCGTTCTGGACTAAAGGTTTTCGAGCTCTGGGAGAAGAACTGTGAAGAAGAGCCTGTCATGGAGAGGGTGGAGTCTGGGAAGGAGCTGCGTGCAAAGATATACGCGAAACTCAGCAAGGAAAACTCGCTGGACCGAGTTGAATCGGCTTCTCCGGGCCCTGACGTCGGGTGGGTCTCGGAGCTGGTCATGTGATCCGGGTCTGATTGCTTTGGTGTGCCTGATTCATTCTTTTGGTGGTTGATGGTCCGAAAACCAAATGGGTCACCTTTTGATTCTTCAGCTGACTTGTGAATATCAATGTCAATACTTGGTCTGTGTAAATATTTGATCGTACGGCAGAGATTAGTCGCTAAATCTCTATTTTGTGGTGGTGGCTTTAATTTTTTGGGGATGAAAAAAAAAAAAATGGCAACTTGTCTGACACAAGAAGGGGGTTCTTAGGGGTTGCCAAAAATGGCATATGGGGTTCACATTTGTATTTTCTTTTTGGATTTTCCCGGAAAATTTATCTTCTTATGTAATCTGCCAAGCTCATGGTGTTTATGCCTTGATCAATGTAATTAATATATTTTCATCTATCTTTTTTAAGTCCTTGAAATAAATGTGTGCGTGTTTGTGTGTGGATGGGGTATGAAAAAAAGTAGTATTTTGTCTTTAAGCTTTGTTTTGTGTGTGGTCCTGGTTGATGAGGTTTGTGTTTGGATGGGGTGACAACTTCAATGGCATGTGTTAATCTGGTTAGGAATTTGGAGGAATTGGCAAGGCTTACTTAGTAAATTGAAGCCATATTTCAATAAATTGATGGGTATTTTTTCTTTTTTTGATTTGATTCTTTTCGAATCTTTTTCTAGTATGAGTACAATTTATAATCCTTTTTGGATTGAGTTTGGATAAGGATTTTCAGATAAGGTTCTCAATGGATGAGACAATGACTAATTGTTGATAAAAATTACAAAAATATTGTCTCTGATTAATGACAACATGGTTGAATTTTTCTGAAAATTTTTGGATCATTCCAATCTAATTGTTAGGGGTTTTTTTTTTTTTTTTTTTCTAATAAATTTTTTTTTTCTTTCTAATAATGAGTTAATTTTTTTAGTTGAAGAGTTTTGGTATTGGACAATTTACATTTTTTTTCTTCTTAAAAACTCGTTTAAAAAATTTAAATATTATAAAGTGTATTTTTTATTTCCTATAATAAAGTGTACTTGTTATGTATTCCTATTGCTTCTTGAAAATTGTTAACAGAAGCAAACAGGTCCTAAAATAGTTGAGTTTTTACAATTATTGTTCTATTGAGATTTTCATAAACGACATTAGTCTATGGTTCAAGTATAGAAAACACCGATATAGTCAGCGGTGGAGCCAATGTATGTCTAGGGTGACACGGGCCCCTTATTATAATACATATATGAAAAAATTTATATAAAGTCCTTCAAAAAAAATTTCTTCTATTTATCTTTTTAAATTCATTTAATTTTTTTTTTTAAAAAGTCAAATTTTCCTTTTTGAATCAAACTTCATTTTTTTTTCTTTTTCAAAATTCTCTCATTTTTATTTCCTTTTTAAAGTTTTTTTTGTTAATTATTTATCTTTCTTAAATTACTCATTGATTGACATATTATTCTGAATACATATATTTTTTTGTCTCTTGATTTTAGGAATTTATATTTATTATCGTGATTATTAAATTTCTTTTTTTTTTTTTTTATGCTGTGCCTTCCTAAATTTAATTTTTGACTCTGCCCTATAGTATGTTTTTAGTGCTCATCACACTTCCCCATAATATGTTTACCATCACACTCCTCGTGTACATAAAACAACCTTGAAGCTTCAATTTATGCAAATAGGTCCCTTTTGAGTTTTGACACATTTAAGGCATAATTTGGTTAAATTGTCCTTATATACACATTATATATATTATTTAAAAATACTTATTTTGTAAAATAACAAAAATAGACGCAAAGTGAAATGACCGGTGTGAAATGATATAAATTGCTGTTATTATTATTTTTGAAAAAATGAGAAAAACTCTTAAAAGTGTGTTAAATGTGCATATAATACTCATATAAAATTATTAGCATACACACCTCATTGGATATTTTCAAAGAGTAAAAAGACAAAATGAGCATTGCAACATTAATTTATGTCAATTTTTTGTTTGAATAATGTTTCCACGATGTTAAAAAAAAATAAGGAGATTATTAGCACATTTTTAAAAATAAAGTGTGAAAGTATTACATTAGGGCTCCGTTTGTTTGGACGGAAAATATTTTTCAAAAAATATATTTTTCATTTTCTAGTGTTTGGTTGTCGAAAATATTTACGAATAAATAAAATATTAAAATTTAACAAAAATAACTTTTCTATCAATTTTCGACAAATTATTTTACATGCCCCGCCTGATAAACTCAACCTCTATCTCGACGTAGAGCTCGTAAAAATAAAAGAATATTTTATCTTAAAAAAAAAAAATCCAAAAAATATATTTTAGGCCGAAACAAACAGAACCTAGAAGTGTTTTTTGTACTTTTTTTTTCTTTTTTTCCCGTGTCTTTTTGGACTTGACCCTTAATTTGTCGGCGGCTTAGATATTTCATCCTAACAAGATACATGCAAGAAAAAGCCATTGAGTCAGATTTTCATAACTATGTTTTTCAATACATAAAAATCATATTATTCTTATAACTTTATCATAGAATATATATATTTATTTTTGTAATTTCATATTTATTCATTTACATGCTATTTATATCCGTCTATCATTTCATCTTATTTTCTTTATATCATGGTGGAATCAACACCATCAACTCATGATATTCACCTCAATTCAAGCTGAAAATTTATATTTGTTGCGACAGAAAAACTATCTCAATACTTACCAATTTTATGAATCCCGTCACTCAGTCACCTGTTGTGTAACAAATGGCAGTGCTCAATTAAACTCGCAAATTGAGTTGCAATCTTATGGTAAATATAGTATTTGAACTGCAAAAATAGTCCCTTCTTTTATTGAATTCAAAGACTTTTAATTATTATTTTCGCTTCAAATTATTAAAAAGAAATAAGAAGTTAAAATATTCTATGATAAATCTCAACAAAATCTAGATGAGTAAAAAGATTATGTCAAAGGCCTCATGGGCATAGTGGCGTTGACAGGAATTCGGGAGATAAATTCTTAACGTCTCTTTTTGAACCGTATTTAATAATGCATATGTTGTGGGGTCGATACACTTACTCTAAAAAAAATGTCAAATAGATAATAGACTATAAAAATGTCTTAAATTTTTATGATGGATATTGGGATTAATTATGTATAATTATGCCGAGGATTGAAAAATTGAGCAACAAGCCTACTTTAGATCAATTATTTTCTCAAAAATTAAATATTTAATTTAATTCTATGAAGATTAGATGGTATTATGAAGTGGACAAGAATGACAAAATTGTTACTTGTCGAGTTTTCTATATTTAGTTTTAAAGGGTTCCCTAACAAGTTTTGGACAGGCAAAAATAAAAAATAAAAAATAAATCCTATGCAGGTCTTGGATAGCGACCCGAAAACAATTTGATTGTTGAATGGCGACCCGAAAACGAATTGAGCTTATCATCAAATATAAATAGTAATTTTCCCTTCTTTTGTTTTCTTCCCTTTTAATAAATAAATAAATAAATAAAACTTTCTTGGTAACATTCAACCCATAAATATATTCATTCATTTTCTCATATATGGGACAAGTTCCTCCTTCTACTAAAAAGTGACAAAGAAGGAAACCTACAAAAAAAAATTCGGATAACTCATATTAAGCGTTCTAAAAGTTTGGACAAATTACATACAAATTAATCCTTTAACATTTATTAAGTTGACTTTTTCAAGATTTGACAATGTGCTCAACATCACCCATTTGCCGTCCTTTTCGACAAACATGTTGATCAAATTTTATAAAATGATAATGTTAACCTTCCTTTATATAAAATGTAATGTAATATTACTGTTATATTATTGTAATAAATAAAGTTTGAACAATTTTGAATTAAAATAAAATGTTTGGATGTATAAATGGTCTCTAACTTAAATGATATAACTCGGTATTTTTTAAGAAGGATTTTTAACTTTTATATAAGAAAAGTGTGGATTAATAATTACCTCATATGCTACAAAAACAAGAAGTAAAAAAAATGAAAAAACATATAAAAAAATATATATCCTAAAGATTTAGAAAAATAATATATATATTGAAAGTTTAATCTGTAGTGGGATTAGATAGGATGTATGACGTGGATGTTGAACTGATAAACCCGTCCTTATCTCCCCCACATTGATAACTTAGTTTAAAGCTGCCATTTGAAATTAATAATTATTTTACAAAATCTTTGGATGTGAAAGTTGCATAGTCAAGGTGGTTTCCCTGTTTATTGGGTCCCACTAGAAAATCTGTCGTATCTCCTGGTTTCTTCACACGTGTACACAGTATTACAAACTCTGTAAGAATGTAGAATATATACAGATATATATATATATATATATAGATATATACACGTATATGCACAGCGCATCAGAATAATAAGTGTAGAGAGAGAAAGTAAGATTGGTAGGTGATTTATGGGGGACATGGTTGAATAAATTAAGAAAAGCGAAAGGCCGACAAAGAAACGGAGGTTCGAAGTTTGGTTCACGTACTTCAAGCTTAACCTAAAAAGTCGAACCAGGTGAACTTATATTCTAAAGCAAGTCTGTAGACTATTCTCTCACAAAGTTTCAACCTTTATTACCTTTCGAAAAAAAAAGTTTCAACCTTTATTTAATAATATTAATTGCGATAATTAATGAGACTGTCTTCGTTATAACTTTTATTATTTTCTGCAGCCCAAATTAAATGTCGTTTTGAAAATTGTTCTGATAAAGACCACACTTAATTTGAGATTGAAAGAATATTATATTTAAAGCAAGTCTGTACACTATTCTCTTACAAAGTTTCAATTTTTATTTAATATTTTTTCTATCCTAATTTAAATGTCATTTTTAAAAAGTAAGAATTTTTAAAATGAAAGGAAGCCATGTCTTATTTCCTTAAAAAGTTACTAATTTACTTTTTTAAGTTGTGAATATTCAAGTTTGAAATTTTAAACTCCAAGGACATATATAGAAAGATGTAAAATATATTATTTAAAAAAGAAAAGTGACAACTATTTTGGGACAGATTAAAAAAAAAATATATGACATTTTTTTTGGGACAGAAAGTAATAATAATTGGGAGAATTAATGAGGGTGGGTTCATTATAACTTTTACTACTCTTTGCGGGGCAAATTAAGGTCTCCTTTTGAGATGTTTTTTATTTTTGCTGTTTTTGTTTTTGGACTCATGTCGATTTTGGTAATAAAATCATGTTTGGTGAAACTTTATTTTATTTTATATAATGTTAAAATACTTTGTGAACAGTGACCCAAAACCAAAATATTAAAAAGTTATTTTTTCTTATTTTAATAATACTAAAAAATTATTTTTTCTTATTTTGACAATTGTTCATGGCCCAAAATCATAATTGTGCATGTTTATGTTTTTGATATTTTTCTAGC